TGGTGGTCCATGAGCAGCCTCACAATGGGGAGAAGCCCCACAAGTGCTTGGAGTGTGGGAAGAGCTTCAGGTGGAGCTGCCAACTGATCAGGCACCAGAGGATCCACACCGGGGAACGGCCCCATGAGTGTGGGGAGTGTGGGAAGAGCTTCAGACAGAGCACCAGTCTGATCATCCACCAACTGATCCACACTGGGGAGAGGCCCTACGAGTGTTCCAAGTGTGGGAAGAGGTTTCCCACCAGCTCCAGTCTCTTCCTGCACTATCGGACTCACACAGAGGAGAGGCCCTTCCACTGCTCCGACTGTGGGAAGGGCTTCAAGCACAACTCCACCCTTGTCACCCACCGGCGCATCCACACCAGGGAGAGGCCCCAGAGTGTCCCCAGTGTGGGAAGAGCTTCTCACAGAGCTCAGCCTTGACCCAACACCAACGGAGGCTCCGGTAAGGGAAGCCCTGCGAGTGCCCCGAGTGTGGGAAGAGCTTTGTGACCCACATTTCCTGGGATCCACCTTGGGAATCCACCTGGCTGCTTCTCCTTCTGTTTTGGCCTCAGTTTTCTTCTGATTGATCTTCATCCCTTAAAAAGAGCCCAAACAGGGTTAAAAAGAAAGAAGTTGATCAACTGTGTCTATTGTCCCACCATTTCACAGGTGTTTGAGGGGGAATATAGGGTTTGGGGACACATTCTGGAAGATTTGTGGGTTCTTGGGGCGTTTTGGGCCATGTTCTCCATCTCTTTGCACTCCAAATGCCAAGGGGGATCAAAAACCTGAAAACAACTCAATCCCACTGAAAACAAGTAAATCTTACCCCAGAAGGGCTCAATCCCACCTCAAAATGGCTTGTTCCACCTCAGAAAAACTCAATCCCATGGGAGATGTATTTGATTCCAGAGGCGGCAGAGTGAGATGGGTTTGGAAGGTGTTCTGGTTTGGGGCAAATTTGGGAGAAAACCTCTGAATGGAGTCCCTCCAGAAAGCAAATTTAAGTGGCCTCTCCCCCATCTGTTTTGGGAAATATATTTCCTTGGAGAAAAAGGGTAAAAGGCTGTTTTTTTAACAAGCAAATTATCTACAAACAAAAAAAAGATGAATAATATTAAACAATAAAACCTCTCGCTGTTTGAAGAGATGGCAAATCCAGTAAAGTCCTTTTCATGGAGTGTAGCTCTGCTCACTCAGTCTCTTATCAGTTCCTCCTGTGCTGGAATGTTCTGAGGCTCAGGCCCCAGTGGGCCACAGCCTTGAGCTCCCAGGGTTTGTCTGGGTTCTCAGTCCACAGCAGGTTTGAACAGATCCAAGAAAAAAGGCAAAAAACAGTCTGGGCAACTTCTCTGCCTCAGCTACCTAAAAGCTAACTAAATGAAGCTAAAACTAAAAACTGAACTAAACTAAACTAACTAAAAGCAAAGGAAAGCTCTGTCCTGCTGTCCGTCTATGCTGCAGACGACAGGCTGGGGAAGTGTGCAGGGCAGTGAGTGCCATTTCTGCAAACAAACTGCAGCTTCTTCTTCCCCCGCTTCGCTCTCAGAGCCAGTCTTGAAGGTGCAGAACTTAATAGGCAGCAGAAACCGAACAGACGTCTGGGGATCCAAGCATCATGAAGTCACCCCAGGCCAGAAGGAGGTTGGGAGAAGTGGGATCCACATTTGGAGCGGTGGGATGGGGATTGTGTGGGGCTGGCTGGCTGGGCTGTATTTGATAGGAAATCAAACTTTCAGAGTTCCTGATTTGTGTCCCATTCATTTTCAGTCAGGTGCAGCTCTGTTTGCAGAGTGTCGCTGTGGCGCTCGAGAGGGACACACGACGCAGCGAGGTTGGCACGGCAAGAGCAATCTTTATTGTTCAGGAGTTGCTTTTTGATGGTTGACCCCAATGGGCCGGAACCTTGGTGCCCCCCGGCCACTGACCGATAGCTGCCCGCGTCCACGCTCCTCTGCAGCCGAGTCCCTCTGCCTCTCCGTGCCCTCTCTCCCAAAGGTGTTTGATTTCCATTCTTTCACAGGAACGGCCTTATCGACTTCAGGGCTCTGGGAGGCTTCGGGCCAGCTGTTCACCGGCATCTTTAGGGACCCAAAATCCCCCCAGATTCCCTCCAGAGACCCCAAAATTCCCACTTTTGGACCCCAAATTCACAAATATTCCCTTCGGAGACTCCAAAATTCCCAAAAATCTTCTATAGAGAACCCAGACTTCCCATGTTTGGAACCAAAATTCTCTATAGGGAACAGAAAACTCCCAACAGTTCCCTATGGGAACCCCCAAAATTTCCTTTGAGGACACCAAAATCTCAAAAAGTCCCAACAGAGATGTAAAAATTCCCATGTTTGGACCAAATACTCAAAAAAACTCCCTGTGGAGACTCCACAATTCCTAAAATTTTCAATATAGGCCCCAAACTTCCCAAAATCCCCTACAGATTTCAAAATTCTCTTTAAGGACTCCAGAATTAAAAAATTTCCTTGTGGGTACCTGAAAATTCCCAAGAGACCCCAAAATTCTCTATAGGAATCACAAACTTCCCTATAGGGACCCCAAATTTCCAAGAATTCCTTGTACAGAGCCCAAAATTGTCAAAAATTTCCTTTAAAGACCCCAAAATTCCTTTATAGAGATCCTGGACTCTCTACAGGCTCCTGGGGGAGCCTACAGAGCCCCTATGGATGCCCCAGACCCCCTTTACAGGTCCCCAGATACTCCCCAATCCCCTATAGATCCCAGACTCCCCTAAGTGCCCCTGAACCCTTGCCAGGCCCCTGGAGACACCTATAGATCCCTTGTTGATCCTCTATTTATCACCTATAGATTTTCTGTAGCTCCTCAGTGTATGGATGCTAACTATGAGCAAAAGCAGGGAGCACAGTGCCTGTGGAATAGCAGGCCGCATAGCTTTCTCAGTCTTGCCTGAGAAAGTGGCCTGGGAAGTCATAAAGAGGAATTCAAACAATCCTCAGAGATAGAAGACAGCCTTGCAGGTGCTGTTTGTCAGTTTCTTGTTTTCTTACAAGAGAAGGTCGAGGGGTGGTGAACCCCACTGACCAGTGATGGTGATGTGTTAGTTCACTGAAAACAAAGAGTTTTACCTTTCTGTACTTTCACGTATCGGTCTATAAAAGAAGATCTGAGGTAATAAACCTCGCTCTCCTGTTCAACGCACAAGAGAGTCTGTGTTGTTCTTCTCACTGTTCCTAACAGAGCACCACCAGTGCCTACAGACTCTGTGAGTACATTCTCTGCCTGTCCCTTGTGTAGAGCAGCCAGGGGTGCCCAGGGCTGTCCTGCAGAGCAGGGTCCTGCAGCCCAGGGCGCTGTGCTGGGGCAGGGACTCTGCTGCCTGCCAGGGACAGCTCTCAGCCGGCCCGGGGAGCTGCTCCCAGCGCTGGGGAGAAGCTGTGGGGGGAAGGAGCCACCCTGAGCAGGGCAGGTGCTGCTGCTGAGAGGGGCTGTGTGGGGCAGGGCTGCTCCCAGCTCCAGTCCAGCCTGGGCACAGCTCCGGAGGACACTTCCCAAAAGAAGGTGAGCCTGGGATTGCTGTCAAGATCAGGAGCTTTCCTGAGACTGTGCTCAATTTCTTGCTTTAAGCAGGGTGGAAAAGTTGAGATGATGACAAAAAGATTTTTGCTTTTTATACGTTTTTGTTGTGGTAGAGTTGTTAGAATGTTGTTAAGTTAGTTTATGTTAGTAGTTGATAGCTTGAAATAGCTTTTCCCCTATTTTAGTTGTGATTTCCCCCCTCCCCGCTTCTTTTTCTCCCAACTGTTTACCTGGTGTCAAGTTCCCATGGTTACTGAAGTTTTTCTCCTCAGCTCCACTGCGAGAAGTGGATGGAGTGGAGGGGAGACCTTGCTGGCATTTCCAGCTGCTTGAAATTTCTTTAGCCCAGGAGACTCTTCTTTCCAACATGGAAGTTTGTAACTCTGTTTTTCCTGTCCCAGAATGCCTCTGAGCTATGGAAGCCGCAAGGGTATTCTTGCCTTCCCTTTCTTTCCCCCCTGTGAAAAACGAGGTTCACATAATTTTTATAGAATTTAAAAGTTTAATAAAAAAACAATTAGGAGAAAAAAATAAAGTAAAGTATACAGATACGGCCGGCTGTCTCTGCATTCAGCCAAGAGAGCACACCTTACTGACAAAGGATTGTCCCTTAAAAACAGAACCCTACTACATATCCATAAATTCTCATACATATTCATA